CCCCAAAACCCCAAAACCCCAAAACCCCATGATGAAGTAATTAAAATTTTAGGCAAATAAGGAATTGAAAAAATACATTTTAAGGTACCAATTCCATATGCCTGATTTCAAGTTAATATATAATTATATCATGAATTTAGATTAATAAATTAACAATATAAATTAGCCACTATCTTATTTGATAAGTACAAAATAAGCCACTTCCTATGAGATTATGTGTTCTATAAATACTAATGATATTTTATTGTGGATACTTAAAAGCTAGCTCAGAATCAAAAGATTGCCAAACTGGGTTTTACTTTGAAAGAGCAGTCAATGATTGTTTAGGTAAATTTATAGTTTACATTAGCATTATATATGATATCTATAGAATGTGATTCTTCATGCCTTACTTGTAATAATGGAGATTCATGCTTAGAGTGTGCAAATTAATCGATGGTAAAATCTTAATAATTGGACACATAAACTGGCATTATCACGTATTTTTGTGATTTTAAATGTAATTTTTATTAAAATGCCTGCCAAGGTAAGTTGATGTCATGATCTAAACTATTTTACCTATAATTTTCCTGCATTAATTCCTTAACTTGGGATTTGTACAGATTGTGGAAATTGTCCCTAAAATATGTGCTTAGGAGAATAATAATGCTTAATATGTGAAAATAACTTTTTTCTTGATGTTGAAAGCCTTAGATGCATCTAAGAGTGCTTGAATGGCAAAATTCCAATCATAATTTACTAATCAAATATTAGATTCTCCTATTGTAGAGGTAAATTATCATAAAATCTCATCTAAATTAGGAAACTAAATCTATGTTGATTATAATTCAAAGAACTAATATGAGTTAGGATCATTAGCGTACCCATATAAGCAACTTTAATCTGCTTTAAAAGAAATTTTTAATTATCTTCCTGCTTAAAGTATTAGTTATGATATACTAATTAGAGAAAATAGCACTGTTTATTTCAACACATAACTTGAGTAACACTACTTAAATTCCTACTTAAATCTAACAATAAGGTATATTATTAGAGTTAACTTTTAGAACTTACTCAATGAATAATCTCTCTAGCATTGGTATTCGATCTAAAATTATTGTTTAGTAATCAAAATTATTCAAACAAAGTCGTTCGACATATTTCTCTATAATAGATGCAAAAAGTGGATATTATGATTTTAGCAGAAATTATCATCCTTTATATATTTCAAACTCAGAAATGAATGAAATTAAAGGTAGGACTTCAGCCTTATTTGTTGCTATTAGATCCAATTTTACCATTAATAATCTTGATATCATGAGTAGGTACATTTTATGCAATAATTATTTTTTAGATGAACATGAAGTTGAAAATGAGAATGATTAATTTTTATATGCCTGGGATATACAATATGGAGCAATAATTTTTAATGTAATATTTCTCAAAATAATTTACTCAATACAGAATTTATATTTCGATTATGCAGGCTCTATATTTTAGAGTGATGAACCTTTGAATTTCTATCTATTGAACACTTAAATGAGAACTGAATATTTGAGTTTTGGAATTTAAATAATAAATGACTGCAGTCTGAAATCAAATTATGCTAACTATGGAGAGGTAATCATGTAAAATTCATCTTTATCTGGAGGAAAAATATTCGAATAAAAGAGGCCATATATTACTTTCTTCACTAATAATAACTTGACTGTTGATAACTGCACCTTTAATGCATTTTCTAGAAATTCAGATGCTAATTAGATCCTTTATCAATAGCACTCAGTCGATTCTTGCAAAGTTCCTGTAAACGATGGGAGGACAAAGTATTAGTAATTCACAAATATCCTTATTAAGCAAGAAACATCAGAAAGAAGCATATAAAATTAGTTTTTCATCCAGTATATGAAAGGAGGAGATAGACTTAGAAATTTTGTTTACCTTACAGAAAATATCACGATCGAGAATGTCTTTACAACCAATTCTGTACTCTATATAGGAACCCTCTTACCAAATATCACTGTTTCGAATGTATTTATTAGAAATTCAACACTAAGAATGAAAGCAGGATCATTCCTGAACATTACTGTTCCAACAAAGATAGTTTTGAATAGTAATTTAAATAGACACTTAACTTAATTTCATTAGATTTAACTTATATAGACTCACTGAGTTTAGGTAAGGGCCTGACTTTCCCTCAAAAAGCTAAGTATACATATGTGAATGGAATGACAATCAGAAATATTACCTGTAAGTTACTAATAATAATTATTTTTAGTTGATGAAAAGATTGATTCTTAGCTGATTATCAAAGTCTCTGGAACACCTAATCAAGCCATTCAAGAATACTAGAATTTACTTTTTGAAAATAATAAGTTATTCGCCAATGTAGCTATTAACTCAGATAGAGACAGCAAAATAATCATTAGAAATTCTACATTTAAAAATGAATGTAACTATTTTATTTTATCTTGATCTTTTTTAATTAGAAATGTATTCTTAATCAAGCTACATCTATCTTTTTAAAGCTTAAAGTTTTTAGATGTATGATGTCTAGTTTATAAACTTTACTTATACTGACAAGATTAAGAAGAATTCATATGCTATCAAATTCGTACAAAAAGATCTATTCCCAAACTTACTATGGCATTCAATCTTGAAAAATGTTGTGTTCGAAAATTGTGATTTTAATTTCTTGCTCATTTAAGGTGTGTAAAGAGTAGGAACTCTCAATTCAAATGATCGATATTATTTTGATATGGATAATGTTACAATCAAAAATAATAGTATTAACTCAATTAACAGTCTAATAAAATTTGACATCTATACTAATTGATTGAATTCTTAAATCAGGCTATTGAACTCATCTATTTCAAATAATTAATTTATGGCTGGTGGATATTTAATTGAAGGACTTCAAAATGAGATTAATCCTTTATTGATTTCAAACACAATCTTTTTCAATAATACAAAGGCCTAGATTTATTTAAGAGCTGGTGATTAAAAAGATACATCAATTCCACTTAAAGTTTATATCTAAAATTCTCAATTTATCGATAATTAACCCATCAATGAGGGACTGATAAAGATATAAACTAATTCAATCCTTAACGTCAGCAATTCTATATTTAGAGGCACTGTTTCACTTTCAAGGGGTGGAGTCATATTTGGGGATCATAAATAGATTTAGGCATACTTTGATAATTGCACTTTTTCACACAATCTCGCTCAAAAAGGTAGTGTCTTCTATATTTAATATCAAAGTAAGTTAGTATTTGATAATTGCTTATTTGAAAAAAATTTCGCAATCTATGGAGGAGTTGGTTCAATAAGTAATGAGGCATACTTTATTATTAGCAATTCAAAAATTACATAGAATTTTGGAATAGATTCTTCGATAATAGAAATAAATGATGCAGTTGACAATTAGTCAAAATTTACAAATGTTCTAATTGATTCTAATGATCTTATGACTATTGATGAGCTTATTCTTTTGAAAGACAATATTATTAAAAATAAGATTTATGAAAACTTCCTAGATCAAATATATGAATAATATCAAAACTATTCAGCAGGAGTCAAAAATATTAAGATATAAAAAGGCAAGCTATCTATAAAAAATTCAATATTAATGAACTAAAATAATTTAATAGGCTGTTTTTCTGGCGAGATAATACTAGATAATGTACAAATAAAAGACTTGAAAATGCATTTTGAGGATAAAGCTATCATAGCTCTATCAAATTGTTTTTGTGAAATTTAAAATACACAGATAAAAGATATCGGATATAAAAATAATTCAGACTAGTATTAATTTTAGTCATTTCTTGAAAGTGCCCTTTAATCGAATGTTAAACTAGTCAATAACTCTTTTTCAAATATAAGTTCTGCTATAATAAATATACAAAATTCTGACCTAGCAATAGTTCACTCTAACTTCACAGATTCAAAGTTGAAACGAAATTAATGGAGCTTCTTTTAAATAGATTCAAGTAGAGTTATAATAAATAACTCAATATTGATGAATTTTTCATCATCTCAAAGACCTATTTTTAGGATTTTAAGATCAGAAAAAATAGTGATAGAAACTTCATATTTTAACTAGTTCGATAAAGACCTCATCAACATTTAAAATTCAAACTTAAGAGTAGTAAATTCTATCATATCTAATAAGGGAGTCAATAGCTTACCTGATATAAATGGAAATATTCAATTAACAGCTAGAGCTATTCAATCTTTCGAGTCAAAGTTAATAATTAAAAATTCATCATTTACTGATCTAACTTCTCTCTAAGAAGGAGGTGCCATTAATCTTGTTTAAGGTGATTTGTATCTAAACGATTCGACCTTCTCTCATAATTAGGCATAAATTGGTGGATCTATATCTCTTTACTGCAGTCAATGTAATTTATCACTTTATAAACATAACTTTTTATAGCATAGAATTGTCTCTATGAATTTAATAGGAATATTTTTACAGAAAATGAAGCTAATATTTAAGGTGGAGCCGTCAATTACAATAAATATGAGCCAGTAAATCTTCTAACTTCTAATATATTTGAAAATAACTATGCACCTTATGGCTTGAATATATCTAGTGTACCTTTTACTATTAGACTCACAACCATGACAGCTAAGAATGTAAATTCAGGATAAAAATATCAAGGAATCATTCAATTAGAAGTAGTAGATTATTACATGCAGAGAATCGTTAATGATGATACAACGTAATTATTCTTAAATAGCTGACATTAAACTATAGTGGTGTAATTTTAGTTGGATTTTATGAAGATGGTACATCAGTTACTGGTCAAACATAGTAAAAAGCAAAGAATGGAATCGTGACTTTTGACGATATCAGATTTTTTGGCAACCCTGGAAATACTTAAAAGTAATTTAAGTTTTACTCTCCCAATATTGATGATGAAATGATGAGAAAAGTTTATAGACTAGAAGAATAAGTAGTTATTAATGAGATAATAGTAGAGTTAGATTTTAGTTTCTGTCAGGTAGGAGAAATAGAAAGTGTCAATGTGTAATTACATTTAAAATTTAAAAATTAAAATTTAGATGCCTTCCATGTGAAATAGGGACTTACTCTATCAATATAAATGACAAGGAATGCACATTTTGTCCAGAAAATTCAGAGTGTCTTGGAGGAAGTGTCATATCTGTTGATAGAGGCTATTGGAGGTCATCTAATACATCTATTTAAATCCATAAATGTCTAGGAAAAGAAGGCTGTCTTGGAGGAGTTCTAGAATCTAAAAAAAGATATGAAAATGACATATACCCTCTTTGTGATTTAGGATATGGTGGGAATCTTTGTCATTCTTGTAAAAGAGTTAATGGAACATAATATGCAAGAACTTCTCCAAATAAATGTGAAGTTTGCCCAGAAACAGGGATGAACTTAATATTTCTGCAAGCAGTACTGCTAATTTTAGCTTATCTAATAATTCTTGTTATCATGAACATTAGAAGTAAAAAGACAAATGATGTCCAAGTCATAATGAGAATAATGACTACATATTTGCAGATCATATCTTCCACTCATGTTCTTGATTTAGACTGGCCAGATTTATTATAATAGTTCTTTGGTGTATTCACCTAAGTAGGTGACTCTGTGTAAAATCTTATTTATTTTGATTGCTTCATGAAAAAAACATTGGTAGAAAATGATGCTAACTCATTTATTTACTTTAAGACAATATTAATAGGAGTATTACCTCTGCTATTGATTTTATCTTTTGCTCTTGCTTTCCAAATTTTCGTAATGATTAAGATTAAATTCAAAAAGCAACTAGTAGAATGGATAGTAATAATGGCAGTTATTGTTATTTATTTTACACATCCCACTGTTTCTAGAAATATTTTGGCGATATTTTTCTGCATGGAAATTGATAAAGGGGAATATTGGCTACAAAGTGACCTTTCAATTTAGTGCTGGGTTAATGATCACTTAAGATTAAGCTTACTAATTGGAATACCATTCTTGTTATTGTGGATCATAGGATTACCTATTTTTGGCATTTTATATTTGAGGCTTAAGAAGTCTTTAAAATAAGAAAGTATTCTATTAAGCTAATTTAGGACTCTTACATCAGGACTAAAAGATCAGTATTACTATTGGGAATTTGTAAATTTATTTAGAAAACTGTTCCTAGTATTTATAAATGTATTCCTATAAACACAAATTTCTTTGTTCAAGGCAATGGTTAGTCTGCTTGTTCTTATTTACATTCATAGACTTCAGATAAGATTATAACCTTACAAAAATCCTTTGATCAATGAACTTGAGAAAAGAGAAATGATCTGCAACCTAGTTACATTTTATGGATCACTTATCTTTGTTAATATTGAATTCAGTGATTGGATAAAATTGCTTTCCCTTACTATCATTATTGTTTTCAACCTTTGGTTTATATTACTATGGATGTACGTAATTTCCTTATAATTTAGCAACAAGATTATTGCTTGTCTAAGAGGAATTTTAAGAAATTTAACGTTTATGAAAATTAATGATTAGCATCAAACACCAAGTAAAATTAAAATTAATCATCTCTTGTATAATAAAGATTCCTTTGATCTAGTAGCATTGAAAGACTAAACAAATCTATAATTTGATAATTCTAAAGATATCAGTAACTAGACAATTTTTGGAGTGGTAACATAGGATGTTCTGAGACCCCACTCATCTACTAGCACTATTAAAAAATAAGCTAAAAAGGTCAAAACTCATGTATCTGAAAGCAAATTTAAGAAGTAATTTAAGCGTAAAGTAAAGTTGATAGAACCTCGTGAAAAGCATGTTCGCTAAGGAACTTCTGATATTTTTTCAGACAATGATCTTGACATTAAATAATCTTACCCTCAAAATATAAAAAAATTAACTTATGCTCAAGCAAAGTTCTAGTCATCTAAGGCTGTTCTAAAATAGTTTGAGCAAATTGAAGTTTTCAAAAGTTAAGAAGATATTTTAGGTTCATCTGTTAAGCAGATATCTGCTTAAATTAGGACTAATGGTTTGAAAAATGCTGTAAGAGTTTCAGATTGACTTAAAAGGAGATTGTAAAAACAATTAAAGACCCGATTATAATATTTTTACAAAATTATATAATTATATAAATAAATCCAAATGAAAATTGCATTCTTATAAATAGTGACATTAGCAAGTGTAGCTAATGCTTTCACAGATCATAACTTCCCAGATGTGAAAACTCAATTTATACTTAGCAAGTAATAAGATAAAAGTCATGGATATCCTTTTGAAACATAAACAATCCTCTTGAATTCCAATGATTTAAATCACAATGAATTCTCGCCTCTTATGATGGACTAAACCCTTCCAAAAGTTAAGATACAACTTTATAGAAGACAACTTTGCACTTATTGTGGACTATCAGTATAGAGTCTTGCAAAGCATCCTTATCTTGAAGATGTAAAAGTAATGGATTAAGAATATTATCCTAAGATGCCACATAATCAGAAATACTACAAAGATGATTCTTATTACTAAAAATTAGAAGCAAAGTTATAGCAGCCTAAGGTTATGGAAATGAACATGGATCTAAAACATCAGTAATACTTATTCATTAGAAATCAACAACCTGCTATTGTTAATTAGATAGTACCTTAACTGAAAGGAAGATAGGTTGCACAAAATCCTACTAAAATATCAGCAAACTTGTATCTTCATGGATTACCTTTTTAGAATAATAAGGAATATGAAGTATCACCAAAATAATAATGGAGTATTAGGAATGAAGATATTTAAAACCATCTTAGAAATTAAGCTCACTTCAAGTATTGAAACAAATGAAATATTATCAGTACATAATAATTCATTTAAGCTAATTTAACAGACAAATAATTTTTCCATTCAAATCATATATATAATATCTTACTAAAATCTATCATCAAGGGGTTTTGGGGTTTTGGGGTTTTGGGG